GCAGGGCGGCGGCAGTCCTTGCCGCGGTGGGAGAGGGGCGGGAGAGGCGGGAATCGATGGTGGTCAGCCGCCGGCGGCGCCCGTTTCCCGGTCGGGACGAACCCTGACGCGGACACCTGTGGTGGATGTTTAGGTGTCTTCGAGGGGGGGTTGTTTCGTGATGCAGAGCAGCTGGTATCCGGGTGAAATTAGCTCCGAACGGCTTGAAGCTTGCATGTGGAACCGATTTCAAACCGTAGCGTGTTATATATTGTTCACGAGGTTGCTTGAGGCAATTTGGGGTCGAACACCACCGCCGGGGGGGTCGGGACGGGCCGGCGGGCAGTTTGTCGAGGAACCCGGGGATGCTGCACTTTTGTCCCCTGGTCTATGTGCTTTTTTTTTTCTTCTTGTCCAACGCGTTTTCTGCAACGTTTACTTCGTTTCTCTCAACCGGCGTCTCGTGGGGGTTGAGTTGTGGGTGTAAATTGTTCATTTAACTGTAGCAGATTTTTTCGGAATTTTCTGCCGTACAAGCCGAAAAAGGGGGGAAAGTACCCCATGTCTGGACAGGCATAATGTCGTCCATAGGTATTCGATTGCCGCAATTTTTTTTTGTGAGTCCGAGTAGGACGCATTCAAGTCATTAGTTCATCAAATTACTACGTTTGCATGGTTTCAAGGCAAGAGAACACGCAGTACCAACCAAAAGGAGTATATTCCGTTCCTCAAAACTGGGCCGAAAAATCGGGGATAGAGGGATTTTGTCCCCGAGTGTGCACCGATTTTTTTTTTTTTTGTATCGAACATTCGTCATACTAACAGCCTGTGTACCAAATTTCAGGTCGTGGAACGCTTTAGAACGTGCGTATCCGGCCACTACCGGAAAGTGGTCCTTAATACCCCCCCCCCTCCTTTTGACCCAAATTTTACCTAGAACGTGAGGTATACTTCAATTTCTATATATACTCGCCACCTTCACTTTTTTCAATTTTTCTTTCTTTGTCATGTAGTCTATGTTATAGGCTATCGTATGATACCTTGATCTCTTCATGAATCATCTTGAAACCAGAGAACAAGCTGCCTAAGTGGGGGGTGCCTTAGGGGGTCCTTAATACCCGTCCTTACTCTAACTGCAAACGCGCCACCAAGAACCGCGTAGTTTGCGTGAGAATCGACGCTGATTGGTTGCCTCAAACCAAGTCCATCTTCGTTTTCGGCAAGTCCTTTCTTTGCGCATAGGATAAACGGGGTCCTTACTCATACTTCTTTGCCGATTTCCCGATACAGAGCACACAGGTTTTTCTGGATGGATTTCAACGCGACACTGAGATTACAACAGCATGGTTAACACCAGCAGCAGAAATTCCGTTCAGACCTCATGGATCCTATGAAATTTGGAACTATTTTGTTGGTCCACGGATCTTTTCGGATATGTTCGGATTTGCAAGCGTTAAGAGGTCACTACTCACTGTTCCGAACACTAGACTACACAGTGAGCTGCCGCGTTGGCAGGAAGAATTATGTCGACACTTGTGAGCTGCCCCCCCGCGTTCAAACAGCAACATGCCGCATGTGCGAGACTGTAGGAGTCGGTACCGCGGGTTGAAGGAGGTTTTCGTGAATTCACGTCTCGTATGCAATGAAGGATGAGCGAGAGAGCACAGTCCGCCGCAGAAGGCCTTATCCAATCGATAACGTCCAAAAAATAATCATCGGTTTGAGGTCAGGATTCAGCAGTACTATCAGCCCCCCAAATGCGAATCAATGTGGCTCCGAGTGGTAAGACCAGGTTCGTTCATGTACTTTAGTTGCGGGATATCCGTTGTACAAGGAGAGACAAATAAATGTACATTTCTGAGCTGGGAAAAGAGACAGAAGGAATATGTAGATGTTTGAGGCATGGACCAGCCAGAAGAAGACGGCATGAAGCTGTGATGGGGGCTAGGAAGTGGGTGAAAAGGCGGGGAAAGCGATATCGATAAGACAGATAGGCCAGGGAAAAAGGTTGTAAGCCACCTTGGGTGTAGTAGGAAGAAACCATTAGCCATACTTTTATTGGCCTTGTGAGAACAGTGCTGCATCGTCCTCTCGAGAACGCGTCGTCAGTGGTCTGACCGCTATGGCGTGCAAAACATGAGTACGCACTCCTTCACGCCACCCTCCGCTCGTACCATCATTTTTCCGGTGGTGCCTCCCCCCTCCCGCCCCGAATCTGAAAGTAACTGCGGGCGTTGGGGTCACCTTCGCTTTAGAGTGTTGATTGGTTTCAAGCCTAGTGCTGCTGGATAAGCACGGCTGACCCGGTTGACAGGAATGAAGAGATGATAATGTCGTTTATTCGGTTGCCCTCGTAAACAAGCAACCGGAGAGAGTGGGCGCCACGTGCGCCACAAATCATCAAGCAACAGTTGCAAGATTTTCACTGACGAAGAGACGCATAGACTTTCCGCAACTCGGAACAATCCCAACTACCAAAGATACGTCGGGAGATACCCCGAAGATCCACGCCCGTGGAACGGTCACTTGCACACGTTTCTCGCTCTCAAGCCACACATGAGTGCAACCGCAGTAGCGTTCGTAAGGATGGCATAATCCACCTCACGGGCAGCCTATGGTCAGTACGTATATATGTGCCGTTGCCATTGTGCTCTGAGATGTAAGATATAAAACAGTAGGCGCTTTTGGTTTCAAGGACAGGGAGAGAGGGCCACTTTTGGAGGGGCGAAACAGGGCGAAGAAACGAATCAAAGTCTGTGCATATAGACTACTGTACCTCCCGAAGAACTATAGTGAAAATCAGTTCCCGCACCCAGGTCGCTGAAGTTTGGCACGTGTCATTGAGTTGTAGTATGTGGGCGTGTAGTTCAGTTTTGAGCACGCAGCAAACGTGCTGCAGGGGTTGTAGGTGTACCTCCTCGGGCTTGTGTACCCTTTTCTTGCTAATAGTGTTTGTGTTCTTTAGATCTTCTGATGGCTCTAGCATTTTTGTGACCCCGGACCGAGTCTTGTTTGTCGGCCGTACTCCGCGTACTTATCGGGACTTGTTTGTGTAGTGTATTAACTTCAGACGGTGAGACAACGCCCGTACCCAGGACGCTGTCGTGCTCGGAAAGCAGGAGGAGAAAGAGAGAGTGGCAGCGCGGCTGCTGCACTCAACAAAGGGGGTCCCGGTGCATCATCACCGTACCCCTACCTAAAAGGTTCTACACCATCTGCGTCACACTTGTACGTATGGCTAATGTATCCAAACCATGTCCGTAGACCCACGAACAC